GAGAGGGACTCCAATGAAGGCAGTGCTCATACTTTTCAGCAGGTCCTGCTCCGTGTCAGATGGGAAGGCCCAGTCGGGGAACAACTCGGTGAAGCTCAGGCCCGGGTACTGCGGCTTGTTCATCACGTAGTTCCTCACCGTCTCCATCAAGCGGCTCATGAAATCCACCGAGGGTGTGCCCAAGACCTCGATAACCTTGTTCCACTGGTCAATGTCTGCAGGAAGGCCGGGTGGCTCAGGAAAATGACTCCTGGTCAAAGCCTGGTCAGTTTAGCGGGCCGCGTCTGCTTGGGCGTGCGTATGCCCGCGGAGTCCGTTAGGAATGGGTAGGTTTGCCTTACCGGCCCTGTGTTGCCTTTCAGGTGCTGCACTGCACTGTAACATTACTCATACGACAGCCATTCCCTCGTCAAACTCGCCTCATGCTCCCACCCACAAAATAACACCCCCAGCTCACTATATGCCGGTTTTCATCCCAGCCAGCACACTGTCCACTGCGCAGTGCTGTATGGTCACAGCTGAGTTCTGAATTAAGCTGTTAATTGATTGTTTCACATGATTATAGCTTCATTAAACCAAATAGGGTAGCTATATTTCTGAAATGCCAACAATACATTTGAAATCAATTCAGTTTTATTGCGGCGGCAGTAAAATGAAGGGTGTGAGAGGTAGAGGAAAGAGGTGTCATGTGACCGGTCAGGTGACAGGCACTGTTCTCTGTTCTCACTTTGTTTTGATGGCAACCCCAGACCAGTATTCCCTTCATAATGAACCCAAACATCCGTGCGAAATGTTTGTGGGAAATTCTTAGCTTTTTTTTCCTGCCAAAATAGGTTGTTGTTTTTGTTTGTTTAAAAAAAAGGCTGTTTTCTCCCATTTGCCCTCTCTGGTGCCCGACGGAAAGCAGTTCCCTTTATCGGACCCCTTCCCAACCATGTGGTTCAATTCACCGGGCTGGCAGGTCATTCCTACATAAGAGTACATTTAACATAAAACATTTTCTCAAATATACATCATCAGCACACCCCGATCCGCCTTGAGAAAACAGACATAAGAAGCGGAAGCATTATGTTTAACACGACGACTGAAACTCACTTACATGAGCGACACCAAAAATGAAAAAGTGTTCTGCAGCATAATGGGACAACAGTACAGAGATTGTAAGAGCATGAACCCAAAAAAGTCATTTCTGAAAAACTGGCGCGAGGAGATGAGACCCCGAAATGGGAGGGAGCGCCAATATAAATGTAGATCGTTTTCCAGGCCGGGAGACAGACCAGATTGGCCCTGTATAGAAGAAGGTAATAAAAGCTTGTCAAAAAATGAAGGAATAAGAGAAACAGACTTCTTCTCTCAAAGGTTTTCGTTTCCCCAGTGAAAGATGTGCACCAGGGCGAAACTCAACAACTTAATGCGTGCAAATCACTCTCCCACAAAGTGATTAGTCCCTTGTGGCGGGATAAATCGGTGATTTCTCAGGGCGTGTCCACACGCCTCTGCACACCGTCGGTGGAGAAGGAGCGACGGGATAGGGTGATTAAAAAAAAATGGGGAAAGAAAAACCAACAAAACTGAGGAGGAGGAGAAAGGATACGATCTGTGCCCTGGAAGATGACGCCGCCTTTGACCATCTCCCCCATGATGCATCCCACTGACCAGATGTCCACTGAGAAGGACAGACAGCTGAGGTCAGCAGAGGTCGCCTACAAAGGAAGACAGTCCCAGAGTCCCCCCCTCGCCCCAAACTGCGTGTAGAGAATTAAGAGGGCAGTCGCGGCATCAGGAAAAGTGCCCGAGGCATGATGCGCGCTTTCTGTTTTTGGAAAACAAGCTGCCATTGACTGGGACACCCTCGTCCTTTGTTAAATTTCCGTGTTTCTGGTTCTAGCCGCAAGGCTAATCAAACTGTACAAATTATTCATGAAGATCGTTACGAAGTGACAGCAACCACAGCTGATGAACCACAGCTCATTATTCAGACACGTTCCTACAAGTCGCTGCAAATAATTACACGGCGGGCTGAAGGAGCGCCAAGCCGATGAGGGCCTGGGTTATCCTAGGCGGCTGGGGCGTTCCTCCGACGCAGGAATGCGGCCCAGTCACTTCACAGCAATGCTACTCCACGGGATGTCAGCTGCAATATACCCGACTGACCAGCGTTCTGTTATCTGACTGGGACCAGTACATATAATGGAGAAGGACAGCCACCCTACTGGCCACTCAGACTCAACTAATGTATTTTATCGATCGGATCCCACAGAACAGAAACGTTCCTCACTGAGAATGAAGAGGAGGACAAAGGACTCGTATCACCATTGGGTCCCAGTTGTTCCAGAGATGCTCACTGTTCCTATTCTCTGATCCTCAGGTGGGAAGTTCTTCCAGAAAGTACAAATCCAGACCAAGGTTTTGTTTCAACCACCCAGTTGAATACTCCATGACTGTGACTCTTTATACTTAACTGGTTGGTTCAAACAAAACCTTGGTCTGGATTTTTACTTTCTAGACCTGAACTTTCCACCTCTCACTGTAATGGATCATTTTTGTGAGTAACTTCCCCAACACTGATGTCACTCTTGGACAAAAGCAATTGCTAAATAAAAATAAATGTAGGAGGACGTAGGCCTCTGAAGACAGGGGCGTTCTGTACCGTTCTCCTTGTACTTCATTCCCAGAATAACCTCGGGGGCCCGGTAGTATCGCGTCACCACGTATGGGGTCATCATGAAGTTGGTGCAGGCCGTCCTGGCCAGGCCGAAGTCCAAGATCTTCAGGGTGCAGTCAGACTTCACCACGATGTTGCTGGGTTTCAGGTCCTGTGGATATGCCAAGTGAACACGATAGATTATTCTGCCTTTCTTTATGCTGTGTATCTTCTAACTAGCTTTGAAACCCAACCAGCTAATAACAACAGGGTACATCCACACACGTTACAAAGGATTTATAGCTGGTGTCATGGCCGATTTGGCTCTCAATGATCCCCCAGGAGCCCCTCGTACCCACCCTGTGGATGATGCCAGCAGAGTGAAGGTGTCGGATGCCACACAAGATCTGGTACAGGAGGTAGGACATCCTTTCGTGGTCCAAGTCCATATGGATCACCTGGCACAGGCTGGCATCCATCAGCTCCATCACCAGGTACCTGGGGGAACAGCAAACGACTGTCCAACCAGCACGGCCCCCATAAGCCCAAACTCAGAGCCTTAGAAAGAGTGTGACCCAGCCTCAACCCAGTCTTCCACCCTCTAAGATCTCCCTCAACAACATGACCTAAGAGAGGGACAAAACCTGTAACTCAACCCTCCCAACCAAAGCTTTTCATAACGCGAAAAATTCTAAAAAGCAGGAGACCGGTGTAGAAAGGGAGAAATGAGTTACTTAATATATATTTCATTAATCTAATCCTATAGTGTGCCAATGAAACATTACAAGGATGTGGCATTTCAGGACTGGCTTTAAAATTGATTTATGCTTCAAGGCTTGATAAACCAATTCCTGTAATGGCTGGAAAGAGGCCTAGGAAGTCCAGGAACCGATGACAGGACCCGCGCCACATTCTGGCTGAGTTAGAGGAGGCACCAAAGAGCATGAGGTCTTACAGATCTTGGAACTTCTCCAGCGACTTCTGTGGTGTGAAGACATTGATGAGCCTGATGATCTGAGGGGAGAGATGAGGCACAAAGCAGGCGTCATGGCAACGGCACGGGAGACAGGCGGGCCCACAGGAAGAAGGCGGTGGGGGTGACGTACGTTTTTGTGGTTGACGCACTTGAGAAGCACCAGTTCCCTGTAGGCCCGCTTGGCGTGGGTCTCATTCTGGAAGGGCCGGCTCAGCTTCTTCACCGCCACAGGGATGCCCAGGACCGTGTCGACCGCCGAGCTTTTAGAGAGGCGGAGAGAGCCTTCAAATTTCGTACGAACGAAGAGATGCTGATCGTTTTCAATAAACCAATCAGCAACTGTTGCCAGATGGTTTAATTCAAAGTATTAGACAATACAGATTAAGTTCATGGACTGTTAGACGACACGGGCTGGGAGGAACATATACTGGCTGGCAGAAGCAGCAGGCACTCCCGGCTCCTCACCAGACGATGCCCTGGGCACCGGAACCGATGGGCCGCAGCTGCTGGTAGCGCCTCAGCACGGTGAAGGTGGAGTCGCCCACCTGCACGCTGTAGAACTGGCCCTCTGCCTCACTCATGGCGCCACCTCCTGGCAATCAGATTAGACCTGCGGGGGGTCACAGTCAGGCTGGGGCAGCCAGGATAAGCCCCCCCCCACCCTGGGTTTTTGTTGATGCAAACCATTAATCACATATCATTACATACAACACTAATTAAACCATTCCCACTATTTCAATATAAAAACTGGTTTATTACTGGTTACTGATGACTGGTAATATCTAAATAACACCCTGGACCAAGACAATTTGGTTATACTGACCAATAAACATAATTCAGTACAACATCCATCCATCCATAACTGCTTGTGTTCTGGAGCCTGCTTCTGCAAGCACTGGGCATGAGGCAGGGGACAGGATGCGAGAGAGTGTAAAATACTCTATAAGAGAGTCCCAGCACAGTAAATAAAGCAGAAAATAAAACATGAACCAGTTCTTTTGGGATGCTGTTAAGGTAGGATGATATATTTCTCATAGGCAACACACACACACACACACACACACACACACACACACACACACACACGGTTGTATTCGTATCCTTGTGGGGACTGTCCATACATTTTTGTGTGGAAAATCCCTAATCCCAACAATGCCAACCTTAACCCCCACCCACCCCTAACCGCAACCAAACAAAATACGAGACTTTTGCAATTTTTAGTTGTTGATTGCAGTCACAGATTTTTATAAAATTGAGTTTCCCCTTGTGTGAACCAAAAAGGTGGCCCCCACAATAGCAAAATAACATTTGATCCCTGCAATGTAATATAAATATAATCCACACACACACACACACTGTGTGTCCCACAGCAGCGCAGAGATTTGGATCAGCACCACGGGCCGTAAATCGTCCTGCGGGCCTTCGGCCGCTCCGGCAACACCGGCCAAAGATGGCAAATTCTCAGAGGACTTTCAGAACAGCAACTACTCCCCCAGTCTGTTTTAACAGACACACACTCTGCAGGCTTGCTCTCTCCCCCTCCCCCTGTATCTGTCCACTGCCGACCCCCCCGACAGGGAACGTGAACAGGCACCACTAAAGGGCCCAGTCACTCAGGTGAGCCACATGTGCACATGGACACATGGAAAAACAAAATCACACTATCAGTGTGAGACAGAACCCAGACACACTCACCCCTCCAAACGGCGAAATATCTAACTGAAAACGAGCTCAGAAAAACACAGCCGAGGGTGAGACACTGTGGGGGGAAACAACAGGAGCGTGTCTGGAGCAGACAGCCAGTGGGGGGGGGGGAATCAAACCCATCAGCAGTATTGGCATAAGATGCAATGGCATCCAGTGATCCAGTGAGTCGGACAAACCCCTCTGCTAAACTCACCACTGGCCACTAGGGGGCCCTGATCACCACTGAGTAGGTGTGTGTCTCAGAAGGAAACCTTGACACAGTACACACAGGCTGAGGGTCTTATCAGGCTGCATCCTGTAGAGAACAGACAGGTTTTTATAATCTAAAACCAGGAAACAACTTTTGAACTCTGAAGATTAACTAAAGGCCACGACACACGCAGCATACGCCTTATAAAATATGGAGGTGACAGAGAAAACTGATACATAATTGTTTGGATAGTGTAACAACGAATATCAGCCAAAAACACCAGACAGTGCTGTAATCATGACCCACGAAGTTTGACTGTTATGTCTCCATGGCGACAGCCCAGTGCAGGGCGACCAGCTGCGGTGGATCATAATGCCCGTAAATCGCGGCCCTCCTTTTACGAGCCTCCGCGGCAGCAGCAAATTAAGGTCTCCTCGTGGAGGTGCCATAAAGCTCATTCCGTTTGGGCTTCACGTTCAGCTCCGCAGGGATTTAAGCTGGAATCAAGGACTAAATAACCTGTGACTTTAAGCTAAGCTGTAGAAAACATCAAGATTAACCATACAGACACATAATCCACACAGCCTGATTGAAGAACATGCTACATTAAGAAATAATATAATACATCTTTCAGAAAACAGATACTATACTTTAGAAAAGTAGATGCTGAATTAATATTAAGGGGCTTGTCAAAGTACAGGTTATAGTGAAGTAGAGTGCAGTTGTAATAGCAGTGGACTTTCCACTAGGTGGCAGCAGTGCCTGGCTGGGGCACTACATACTGCTGGCTCACCGTAACAAACCCTGAAGAACAGTGATGTAATGTGCAACCTTAGGTTTAAGTACAATATGGGCAGGAGCGCAGATGAATGGGCGGGGTGGGGGTGATGGAGCTGAATAATGGGAAGGTGGCGTCAGCTGGCCTCGGTCTCTCACATTGTGGACAGCTCACCCTCCTTTGCCAGCGCTCTGTCTCCATCGACTCAGCCGCCCCCAACTCGCCTCTCATCATGCAGTCACCATTCACCCTCCTTTGCCAGCAATCTGTCTCCACCTTTTTCTCCTCAGACATTGTCATATAGCACTTCCTTCCTTGTTCCGATCGATCTCTCCATTCCTCTCTCTGCCTTCGACCTCCATTATCTCTCCCTGGAAACACAGCCTTCCTTTTCTTGCCGGGGGGGGGGGGGGGGTGACTGAAGCTTGGAGGCTTCACATTATTCCCACTGGCAGTTAATCACATGTGCTAAATGTAACATTGCTAACTAGTCCCACTGGCATTTAAAAACATGTACTAAATGTAACATTGCTAACTAGTCCCACTGGCATTTAAAAACATGTACTAAATGTAACATTGCTAACTAGTCCCACTGGCATTTA